CCCCCTCCAACAACACTCCCCCTCCCCCCCTCCAACAACACTCCCCCTCCCCCCCTCCAACAACACTCCCCCTTCCCCCTTCCAACAACAGCATAACAAAAACAGCACCAATTTCTTTTCAATGGAGTAATAGTGCATGTCGTTTCATAGGGGGAGCAGCTCGCCGACGGCATGCCACACACAGAAGCCTTTGTTCCTTTCTGTGTTTTCCCTTCCCTCCTAGAGAGCCTTCTTTTCTTAGGAAAAAAAAGGGTGATGGCCTTGTTGAGATATTATCAAACTGACGGGCCCCAGGTAAGTCAGAATTATTCAATTATTTGATTTCCTTCATCTAGTTAGATCGGGACTCGAACTCAGGTCTGTATTTCAACAGTTCATGGGTGTACCAACTGAGCTAGGCCCAAGACTTCTTTGTTTTTTCCCCTTCCCTTCTACAGAAGCCGTCTTTGTCTTTTCCCCCTGCCTTTCTACAAAGCCCTTTCTCTTTTTCCAGAAGGCTTTATATTACCAAAAAAAAAAACAAAAAAAAAAAAACAAAAAAAAAACAGGGGAATAAACTTCAACGAAGTTCAATAAACCACAAACATTGCAGGGAAGGAACAGAAAAGATGTTGGGCCAGCGGGAGTCACCACAAAGTGTTTTTAAATTACTAGTACTTGGCCCGGCTATTCGTTTTTGGTTTGGGTGCGCCCCATCTTTCGGGGCTCGGCCTCCGGAGTAATATGGCTGGCGGCGCCAGCCAAAGGAGGCATGCGCTGGTTCGTATTTTTTGTGGCACGCAGCGCGTTTCCAGCTCCAGTCAAAAGTGCCTTGGATGAACCCCCCCCCCCCTCCCCCCCGTGCCGGATGTTGATAGAATCTCTGTTCTCAGCCAGGAGGCTGCGCTTATCCTGGTTGTGTTTTGTCGTTTAGTGCAGCTTTCCCGTTGGCGAAACACCCCTTCGCTGCACCAGGCTTTGCCAAAGTTGCTCCTTGTGTCTGCTGCAGAGAAAACTTCCTCGTCTGAATCCAGAATTCTTGGGTTGTCAAATAAAGGTTGGTTAAGGATCTCAGTCCTGGTAGTTGGTTCCCTGAGTGTGATTGGGCCTAGTTTATTCCATGCGTAGAGGATTTGGTGCCAAGTGGTGGATCTGGGTCTGTGCTGGGTAAAGGAAGGCAGCAGCAGACAGAGCCAGATATCCTGATGTGGCGCGAAATTCCATTCTGATCCCAGCAGGTACTGGGCAAACAAAGTTCATGCCTTGGGTGTATCTGCTAGCATGGCCAGCACTGGCCAGTTTAACTATCATTGCGTTGAGTGTTGTGTCATGTGCAAGGTTATCGTGCATTTATGTGCATTTATGTGCATGGATATCATGCATGTTGGACTATCGTTTCTCAGTGTGAATTTATAGTTCCCTCATAAACCAGCACTGGCCAGTGCTGGCCATGCTAGCAGATACACCCAAGTTCTGCTGCTTCGGGTCCAACATATCCCACCTCAAGGCGCTTTCTTGAATAATATATACGCCTAGGGCACAAGGCCCCATTTTTGAAAAAAAATAAATAAAAAATTCTGACTTACCTAGGGCAGGGTCGGTTCTACGAAGTTATCCTTTTTTTTTTTTTAAGACTAATTATTTTAAACCACCAGTACTTCCTAAATTCGTGCCCGTTAACGCTACGCGATTTTAGGAAACGTACGGACCACTACAGGAGCACCCAAATTCATCCAACTAGAAACGTTTCTACTCTATTTTTTTCCGCGGCGGATAGCTGGGCCAAGTACTGGTGGTTTAAGCCAACCAATTCAATTTTCAGGCCTTTTTATTATCATTATAGTACCCGTAGCAGCCAGCCTGACTTCAAGCCTCCAAAGAGGGAACATGCCGGGGCTGCACCTGACCTGCATGCAGGTGGGCGCCGGCCAGGGGTCGGGTCCAGGTGGGCGACACCAGCCAAGGGTCAGCCAGTAGCATCAGGACCGAGCAGACCCTGTGCCTCCCCTCCAGTCCCCTCCCCCTACGAACATCAGATGGGCCAGTCGCTGTGCCTCCCCTCTGGTTCCCTCCCCTATGAACATCAGCAGTCTCTGCTTACTACCACTCGGGGGCACCAACGGCCTATGTCTATGTGGGGGCCAAGCTTGCCCAGGAAGGTATATGAGGCCAATTGGGATTGAACCCAAGACCTCCTGAATGCCACTTGCATGCCTTACCAACTGAGCTAGGCCGCTGGGATTATGCAGATATCTCAAGGCCGTCGGCCCTTCAAAAAAAAAAAAAAAAAAAAGTACGTAGTTGTTCTATCATCGAGTATTGCAATTGCAAACGTTAATTTAAGAATAGTAAAATACTCTGAAAGTAGTAATCATAAGGGCAAGGGAAAAAAAGGCCAAGAAATGACCACCATCTCGTTGATGCCAAATCACTTTGATAGCAGGAGTAGGTGTAGGATCTACAACCTCACCCACCCCTCACCCATGCATGGAATATAATTAGCGCAGGCGACGATTGCATTGCAAAAACAGTGCGCATCGTTTGTATAATACAGTACTAAGAGAAGTAGTTCAGTCCAATCAGACACAAATGATCTATGTGCCACGTGGCAAGCCAGGACTCAAAGTTCAACACCTGCAATCGGGGCCTAGTTGCCACGTCAGAGGCAGCACGTGGCTACCGTCATCATCCTCATTCATTTCACAGCCGTGATCCTCATATCATCATCATTGAATTTCTGCCAGTGAGCGCTAGTCGTTGTCATCATCACCATTAAATTCTTCTTCTTCTTCTCCTCCTCCTCCTCCTCATCCTCTTTCTCCTCCTCCTCCACCTCTCTTCCTCTTCCCTTTCTTCTTCTTCTTCTTCTTCTTATCGTCGACCTTTCTTCCTTCTCCTCTTCTTCTTTTCTTCTTCTTCTCCTCCTCCCCCTCCTCCTCCTCCACCATCTCTCTTCTTCCTCCTCCTCCTCCTCCTCCTTCTTCTTCTTCTTCTTCTTCTTCTGCTGCTGCTGCTGCTGCTGCTGCTCTCTTCCTCCTCCTCCTCCTCCTCCTCCTCCTCCTCCTCCTTCTGCTGCTGCTGCTGGTGCTCCTGCTCCTGCTCCTGCTCCTGCTGCTGCTTTTCCGTGTTCTTCATCTCCCATATATGTTCAGTAATTCCTCCTGACGGGGTTTAGCAATACGCCCGTGGTATACTGAAAGTTATACACGCCAGGAAGTCGACTGCCACGTGGAAGGCTACCGGTAGCACGAAGTCACTGCCATAGTCACTATCATGGACTCATCATATGCGCACTCTTCTTCTCCTTCTTGTTCCCCCTCCTCCTCTTGTCCTACCTCTGCCTCTTCTTCTTTCCCTTCCCCCCCCTCCTCTCCGTTCTCTCTCCCTCCCCCTGCCATTACCATTGCCCGCCTTCTCGCCCCCATGCTCTTGCTGCCCGCCCCATCACCCTACATGCGGCAAAGCGACGACGAAGACGCACTCCCACGTCGCCCGTCCGCCAGATGGCAGAAAAAGGCGGCCCGATGTCTACACAGCCGGAGCGGAAGAATGGAGGAGGCGGAGGAAGAAGAGGGGAAAGAAGAAGAAGGGAGGAGAGAAAGAAAAAGGAGAAAGCAGACGATGGAAGAAGTCGAAAGGAAAGGCAGAAGAGGAAGACGATGATCAAGATGACCAGAACGTGCTCGCATTCAAAACCAAAAATGGATATCATGCAACATAGTATATCTTTCTTTCATGCCCTATCACAGGTGGAGGAGGAGGAGGAGGAGGAGGAATCCGGAGGAGGAGGAGGAGGAGGAATCCGGAGGAGGAGGAATCTGGAGGACGAAGAATCGGGAGGAGGAGGAATTCAGCATAGTGTGCTTGCGTGAGAGGGCCAGCGGTTCCCTGGGATTAAATTGAGTCCCCAGGGGCAATATAGTTAGTTCGCCAAGGAGGATTTTTTTATTATTATTATTATTATTATTATTATTTTAATTATTATTATTATTATTATTATTATTATTATTATTTTGGTTGTTGTTGTTGTTGTTGAAAGCCCAGGTTGTTGTAGAGGTGGGACGGGATACTGGACAGATGGCAGTCACCCACAGTACTCGGTCACTCGGTTGTCCAGCTGAACCCCTCTGAAGACCCCACCCACCCTTCCTCGCATCTTTTTTCCACCCACCCTTCCTCTCATCTTTTTGCCCGGCGCACCCCCACTCCCACCCCCCCTGTCCTACCCTAGTATTAACCACCCAGGACCATCACCCATTACCATCTTGGCGGGGTGACCTGACCAGACAAACAACACTCAGAACTGCCCTACCCCAACATCCATCCGACTTGTGGAAGCTCTCGGCCCTGCCCCTATGTCTAAAGGTTCCAAACACCCGGGCGACTTCCAATCGGCCCTGCTCCTATGTCTTAAGGGTCCAACCACCCTGCACGGCACCCAGGCTAAGCAGAGACCCCTACCCCCTGCTCAGCCCTGGTTGAAGCAGACTCCGTGCAAGCCCGATTGCATGGTGACTTCGAGAGCTGAGTATGAACATGCTACTACAGGTCTTCATGAGAGTGCACAGTCACTCCCATCTAGCGCAGTAGACTTAAGATCATTTTTTTTTATTATTTTTTTTTTATTTTATTTTTTTTAAGTAGACTTAAGATCGTAATTGATGACCGCGGAGGATTCTGGACTTAAACCCTTTTTTTTTTTTTTTGCATGAATTTACAGTAAGTTGAGCTTTATTGCAAGATACAAGTCGCACAAGCTAAATGCAAGAAGTTTTCATTGGCCTTAACTTCAATTAATTACGGTAATTCGTTAGCCTTAATTCGACCAACTCAAATATTAAGGAGGGAAGAGAAGAGGGGGGAAGCGGGCGGGCGGGGGGGATGGGGAAGGGTGTTAAAATCCGAAAAGAGAAGTTCCGAAATTATTATCGTAAATTCGTAACGAATAAGGCGCCAAATTTTTTAATTTTTTTTTTAATTTTTTTTTATAAGGGTCGAGTAGGCAAGCCAATTAGAAAGGAGCCATGCTTGCTTTTCTTTATTTTTTGGGAAAAAAAAAAGTGACCATTTTTATCTCGATCTGTGCGTGTCATCCTTGAGTGAGCAGGGGCTATTACAGTTTTTTTTTTGTTTTTTTTTTTAAATAAACACAACCCGATATGCTAATTACATGTATACTCGCTGCATCGTTGCAATTTTAATGGATGTCCCGAAGGAAGTCTCGCCTCCCCTTTTCAGAAGTTTTTCTTTTTTTTCCTTTTTTTCCTTTTTAACCTTTTTTTTTTTCCTTTTTTTTTCTTTTCTTCTTTTCTTCTTTTCTTCTTTTCTTCTTTTCTTCTTTTCTTCTTTTTTTTTTTTTTTTTTTTTTTTTTTTGGTCTCCCTTTTAAAGGCAAAAAGAAAAGAGGATAACCCCTAAAGATTATTATTTTTATCCATGAGAATCTGAACTCGTGAATCTCTTTACCAACAATACATCTGCACACCATTCAGTTGGCATTACGCAGACACATGCTTGCCATATTCCCAGAAAAGGGGTCCACTACATAACGCTCTGCATGCATTAGGACCCCTTCTGGATCCGATACATTCAAAATGTTCGACTCATCCGAATGCATCTGGTCCAGAAAGCGTGCACCCTAACACTGCGCACCGAGTTTTGCCGAGCCTGGCATTCCCAAAAGAAGACAAACAAAGACTCTATTTTTTTTACTAAATTCCCAAAAGGAACCCAGCCCATCTTGCTGAATGTTACACACATGGAACTGGTAATAAACAGGTCATGACTTCGAATCCTGACGAAATCAAATAGATACAATTAGGTACGGGCCATCCACTTATTTTAAAAACATTAATAATATATTATTATTATTATTATTATTATTATTATTATTATTATAACCTTTAAATTGATAATAATCTCTTCTTTTCTTGTTTTTGATTCGTTTTCTTAAATCTTTTTTTTTTTAAAGTTTATTTATATTACAAAAGCCGGGAACGAGGCCCGGCGTGCCTTACAAAAGTTGATTAGCGGGCCCCCGTCTGAGGGCATACTCACACTGGGACCTATATTCCCAAGATTCCAAAAAAAAGGGGAAAAGGCCGGTCACACGGATCTACCAAATTCGCAAATGTACTATTCCTGTGCCCATTTGTCAGCGGCCTGGAACGCCGCGGGGCAAGGGATCTGCGGTCACCTCTGGAGGTGACCGCAAATGCCCTCCTTTTTTTTTTGTATTTTCTTCAAAAATTGGCAAAGATTCGTTCACAAAAGTTCTTGCACAATTTCTGGATGGCGCCGTATGACCAGCCAAGTACCAAATCCCGATGTCAATTCTACAGACGGCCGCGACCTTGTCCCATCTGAGAAGGTACAGCAGTGTGAAGTTCAAACCATGCCCAAAACCTCAAATCGGCCTTTCCCAAATCGGCATATTTTGCGCATTTGGGGACGCCGTGTGAGTATATGCCCTCAGAGTT